AACCACCCATCCATCTTTACATTCAATATTTCTTACCTAGGTATCAAGAACAATAACAAGTATCTTTTTAAAAAAAAGAAGTTATCAGAATAGTTTATTATTTGAAACATGTATTAGGACTCAAACCTAGCAATACACAGTGAAACCACTACTTTGAGGGCAAGGATGTCAAGGAAATTACTTGTCTGCCTGTCTACCTTCATAAAATCTGCTATTTCACAACAGAACAGAATGATGAGAGCTCTGTGTGCTCAACTCAACATTCCAAGTCGGAAAAAAAATTGAAAATTCCATATGTGAAAACAAAATCATGCACTGGAAATAGAACACCTGATTCACAGAGATGTGAATAGTTTTCTGAAGGCATTTTCCACACCAGGACGTTATATCCCAGAACAAACACATGTTCTATCAATCAACAGTTTTCCCTGACAAAAGCAGCAACTTCAAAAGTGAGTAAGCTTCACTGTATAAATTTTTCAAAGAAATGCAAGCGTACATATATTATATATGGAGGTGTGTGACTATCATAGCAACTGAAACACACTGTGTTGTTTTTTTTTCATGAGACGCGGCTCTTAGACAACTCTACTTCCAGGTTTCAGAGAGAATCACAAAATTATTGCCAGGGCTCACTTAGTATTATTATGCCACTGGCAGCCTGATGAGAAGTAGTGGGAAACAGCAACAAGGTTGTTACCTGTGATGGGCAGATGCAGGTCCCTTGCAGTGTGACCCATATCTAGCATCCTAATATAGCGTTAGTCAGGGACAGCATGGAGAGTTAAAAACAGAGAAGGGCTCCAGTTTATGCTGCTGCTGCTGCTGCTAGGATGACTAGAAAAAAGGGAGGCCTAAATTACGTATCTGCGTCAGGCTTAAACTCTCCAGCCAAAGATGCTGAGTCTTAATGTCAGGATTTCAGGTCACAGTTGTTTGCATGAGAAGGAATTTATCATTCTGTCTCTCCTCCAGCAGTTAAAAGCTACCAGCTGGTTTTTGAAGCATGGTACATGTAACAGGATCAAAAATATGACTGACTTAAAAATAAAAAAATCACAGAGACAGATGATACTATGTACATTATAACTGTACAAAGTACAATACAATGGCATCAAGCTGGCAATACCTATCAAGCTTGTTTGGAGAGAGGGAAAAAAACTTTTTCATAAAAAAGAAAAGAAATCCCATCAACTGATATAAACTGAAAATTCAATGAAGTTACATGGAATATATTTCCATTCATTAATGAAGCTCATTGAATGAGTCTGCCCAACCACTATCTCTCAGCCTAACCTAACTTACAAGGTAATATGCTTTTACATTAGAAAAGTAAAAATGGAATAGGCTACTATAATATTAGCTGTCTAGGTCCCTGAATTAACTCTACTGAAGGATTTCAAGTTTTCAGCAAGAATATTTTGATAAGAACCAAGAAAAAAAAAAAAGCCTGGCTATAAAAACCGTTGAAGATAGGTATTAGTGCCAATAATTCCAATAGGTCCATTTGCTAGAAATGACTGATAATAAAATAAGTGGGGGAAAAGATTTTATTGATATAGATTTTAATATCATTTTTATTCCTCAAACAAGTGTTAACACAAACGTTCTTGGAAAATGCTGAACATCCACAGTTTTAATAGGAAGGAAGACAGAAGGAAAAGTGTCAAGGTAAAATATAGACTCATAGTAAATTATGAAAGGGGTTCAATATACCCTAATCGCTTAATAATGAGTTTTCCTTCCAAAAGACCACTGCATACATGAAATCCATTTTCTGTTTGTTTGTTTGTTTTTCCCCTATGAGCATTAATTCAATGCTAAAATCCAATTTAGGAATTAATATTGGTCCTCCTGTTAAAATTTTATCCTGAGTCCAAAAGACCAGTACTTTGCAATTATTTGTTGTCGCTGCTTTGAATACAGATTTGTAAAATTATTTTGGGAATGTCCTGATTTTTTATTATTTTTATTCTTAGTTACTTCTTGGAATACTGGTAGCTAAGGCTCTCTGTACATACTTTCTTTGGGGTTCTCCAGGCTCAGGAAGATCTGCACCAAAATGTAGATCATGAAGGCTGCAGACATTTCTCTATACATTCCGGCAAAGCTTCATCAGTGCAACTTTTCTTTCATCACTTCTCAAGAAGCACCCAATCACCATACAGAATTGAAACCCCTACAAATTATAAATACAGAGAGGCAACACCCATTTTTGGAGTGTTCAACTGATGAAGCTTTGCAGAAACAGATAGAGAAATGTCCAGAGCAATCCTATCAACACAGCAGAATTAACTCCTTATATTTCGATTTAAATGGATCATACTGTAAAGGCAATGAAGCTCTGGTTAATACAGTACTGCTGAAAACAGAGAAGGGGGGAGAATAAGAAGACAAAGATTCACACTTCACATAGTAATTTTGCCAATTTGATAATCAGCCTCACTTGTTTCTTCCTGGAAATATTTCTGATGGGATGTTTACACTAAGACACTGAAAGCACTTTTCCAACTTAGAGAGGATAGAATTAGTTATACTGAAAAATTCATTTGATTAAAAACAGGAGAATATGCCCTTCTGTAAAACAATCCTGTGATCTGACAATAGTCACTTCATCAAAAATGATTAAGCTCTAAGATGGGTTCAAATTGTATGTAGGAAAACAGCAGCTGCAACTTGTTAGTAAACTTCACATAAAAATGTGGCTTATTCATTATTAATGAACTGAAAACTGAACATCATCCAGGTCTGAAATGCTACAATGTAAATATCATGATACTCAGCACAATGTTTTTATTTACATATCATTAGAATCTGGTAACACAAATCATATTCCTTGAATTTTTTTTAAAGTGTTGTAATGAGACTGGAAAAAAAAGAGAGCATGTAAGCATTTGATATGTGATGTTTACCAAATGCAAAAAGGATAAATGCTGTTCATTTAAAAGATGTCCTTGGTTTTATAGGCAGCACTGTAAACTTAGTAGTGTTGATTTCAAAGGATAAAAATTTAGTGACTGACACTAAACATGTCCATGTATTCCCACTTCCACTCAGATATTAGGATTAAAAGACTGTGTAAATCAGAGTTTCCTATGACATTCAAAGGGGGAAATTATGGTGCGAGCTATCCTTATAAAATGGAAAAATGGTAGTCACACCATATTTTACAATCTTCGTTTGGAGAGAGCACCAAAACCAGTTTCCCAGTTCAGATTTTGTGGCAAACTATTCTTTAATGAGTCATCACATCTTGTATTAAATCTTGTGTGTGAGCATCTAGGCTACGGTTAGAAAGGAGCGCAAATGTTGATGCACCTCTTTGATGAAGGTTATGTATTCCTGGAAGGAAATCACACTGCTCTCACAAACAGAAATTTCTTCTCATGCCTTATTATAAATATAACTGACACCGCATAGAGATAGTTCTATTTATACTCAAAGGACTGTCACTCTCAGAGCTACAGGTATAATAGTGTCAGTGAGACTACACCAACTTTATTTGTACAAGATGCTCAGTGAGAAGTGGAGCCGTGAGCTTCAGCCTGACTTCAGCCCCATTAGTGCTAAACTAGTTTGGCAATACCAAAAATAACGGCTCTCTTTAGAGCAAGTGTTCCTAGACTTTTTGCCATTCCACTTCCTTGTAGTGTAATCTTAAAGTACACACCTCCCCTAAAAATCAAAACACCAAAATGAACACAAATGAACAATGAAAACAATACAATGAAACTTTGGGAAAGGTGAATTTATTGCAAAAATGTACAACTAAAAGGTTCTTCACACCTTCCCTGGACTCTGTCTGCACCTCCCCAAGGGAGGTACACCTCACAGTTTGGGAAATCTTGCTTTAAGGAGAAAAAATAGTTTTTCTCTCACACACACACAATTTTTTAGAACTTCATTGTACACCGCCCAGATTCCCTTCTCATGAGATGGGCAGCTATATAATTTTTTAAATAAATAAATGAATAAATAAATAAATACTTGAGGTTATCTCCTGAAATTAACTTCTGTTGGAAATTCAGAACCAACAGAAGGAAATGTTTTTTCACACAGCTCATATTTAAACTCTGGAATTTGTTGCCAGCAGCTATGATAATGGCAGCCAATTTAGTGTTCAACCAGATTTATGGAGGATCAGACTATCAATGGCTATTAACACTGATGGCTGTTTACCACCTCCTGAATCATAGGCAGCACACCTTCTATACGATTTGCAGGGAAGTGACAGCAGAAGGGAGCTCTTGTCCTCCAATCCAAGTTTAAGATCTTCCCCAATACATCCCATTTGCTAGAGAGGGGTACAGAATGCTGGACTACATGAACCTACAAACTAATCCAGAAGGGCTTAGGTTTTATGATCTAAATCACAGCGCTGGCCTAAAAGTACTAAGCTGAAGTCACAGTTCGATAATATTTAGTTTTCTTTCCAAACCCCATGAAGCCCAGTAATCTTGGCACTGCATTCAGTAACAGCAACTTTCTTCCCCTGGCATTGTGTTACCTTATGCGGCTTTGTTTATGCAATCAAGCATTTTTCCACTGTACAGATTCTGCCTTTTTCCACTGTACAGATTCTACTTGTAGTCCAATCTCCATCCTATTCACAGGAACACCTCCTGCCTGTTGCCAATATAACTATCATTCACACATGTTGAGCTAAATCTCTGTGGCAACCTGCTGAAAACTAGGCCTCAGCCCTGAAATTTTCACTGTGGAGACCTTTCTTTTTCTTATACTGAGGCAATTAAGGTTTTGTGGAAATCCACAAAGAGGGTAGAATGATGTGCTATAAGGAACGGATTAAATATTAAGCAGCACACTTGCACAAGACAAAAATGTGGTGTATAATAAAGCCATAAACTTTAGTAAAATCCATATCTGATCTTTAGAGGGAAAGGTGTGCATCATAGCATTCCTTCTAGAAGACAGACAATATAAAACCTCTTTGAATATTAATGCAACATATGTAAATGAAATATCTTTGAGCTACATACCATTGTTGTTCTTGCATTGGGCATATAACACACGGTTTCCTTGTCCACATATTCCATTATAAGGAAAACAGATTCCTTCTGAAATACTCCAGTCAAAACATGTTGGATTATCACAAGGAATAGATTCTATCAAATGTGGGCAGTTGTCAGAATTTCCAATGGAATCCACAACAATGTATCTGTGCCTCATTCTGAAACCTAAGAGGGGAGAAACAAAGCAAATAACTAAAATAGGAGGGAAGAAACAATACTGAGTAATTTCCAAATTTCAATCCATCCTAAAGATGAACAAATACAAGAGAGGTAAGAAACACATTTTTTCACTTTTGCAACTCATTGTCTTTGGCTAGATAGCTCTGCTAATTTTAAGCTGCCTTGTGTATTTACAATGAAATGACAAAAAGGTACTGTTAAAAATCTCTCAAGTTACATTGCACATACTAAAGAATATCAAATCATGCTTGCATACTCCAGAAAAGAGGACTGATTGATATATATTTTTTCCACTTATACTTTCTGATTCTCCCTCACAATTTCTGATGTAGGAAATTATACATTAGCATGTGCCATATTTGTATTGAGGGAATGTATGAGAAAAGACTGGCATTTAGATATGATGGACTTCATCATATCTAAATACTTGTATTATTATGAAAAAGATTGAGTTTTAGAACTATACTATAATAGAGCCCTTTTCACAGAATACTCAGCTCCTGGGGGAATGTGTAGTTGCACAATCTTACTCTCACTTACACCTTCACTGGTTCCTTGGTCAACTTAATGCAAACATATACTGCTGGAGTAATCAGAGTGCAGGCAGGGCCACTCCCCTTTGATGCTTAAAAAAATCTTTTTTTTTTATTTCACATTTGTCAAATAGGTGGAAAGGAGCTTATATCCATGCATACTTCAATAATCATGTGCAAATCAGAATATGGCATGAAGCACATTAGTTTTAATCAGAAACTCATTCTCATATGCTTCCTGGACTCATTCCAAGTCTTTGCTGTCCCCATGTGCTGGTGAACTTTTGAAGCAGTGCTGTCTGCAAAAAGAGGTCAAAGCAGTGAATATAGTGATGTGATCTAATCCCACCCCTTTTGAATGTGCATCAACACTGCATACATTCAAAAGGAGTGGGGCTTGCAACCTGATGCCACATCCACCATCTTGTCCATTTTGACCCACACATTCCAGACACCGCTGTTCTGAAGTGGGACACTTCCACTGTATGAGTACGCAATACACATAACTTAAAATCCTAGTTTTAAATAGCAGCTCTATATTTATTTATTTATTTATTTATTTATTTTCAAATTTGTATACCACCCATCTCCCCCAATGGGTGATTCTGGGCGGCTCACAATAATAAAAAAGAAGAGAAAACACAGGACTCTCCAGACATGGACATAATCTATAAATAGTTAAAAAACATATATTAAAAAATGACCTAAAAACTTCCTATAATTTGGGCCCTAAAAAACCTGTAAGATGCTGGGGGGGGGGACAACCCCTCACCTCACCAGCCATCTCCACAGGTGCGGGCCCCCCTCTGGCCCCCAGGCCTTCTTTCAGAGCCAGGATTTGATCCCTTTCCTGAAGAACATGAGGGAGGGGCCACACCGCACCTCAGGAGGCAGGATGTTCCATAGGGCGGGCGCTACAGCAGAAAAGGCTCTCTGCCTAGACCCCACCAATCGAAATTCCTTGACGGGTGGGGTTTGCAACCTGCCCCTTCTGCTGGACCAAGTGGGGCGGGCTGAAATGACCGGGGCGAGGCAGTTCCTCAGATAACCTGGTCCCATACCATGAAGGACTTTAAAGGTGATGACCAACACCTTGAATTGGACCCGGAAACAAACTGGCAACCAATGCAGCTCATGCAACAGGGGTGTTATACGTGCCCTCCTAGGGGCATTAAGAACTGTCCCTATATATATAGGGAAGATGGGGCTGGACAGTTAGTGAGTGTGATCTCAGACTTCTTTCTTATGAAATAGAAAAGAAGCGGCCAAACACCCAAGTAGGGCTAATTATTATCCAGTACATCTGTAGAGCACCAGGTTGATGAAATACCCCCTCACCCATGCTACATTATGTTGAAAGTTATACTCAAATGCACCTTTTCTTCCTTGAATTTCTTGGCAGTCTTCATGAATGCAAGGGCTCCATGTTGACCAGGAAGAAACCACACACTCAGGAGGACATGGAATACTACACAGTTGAGAAGCAGGAGGAGCAGGAGAAGGGCAAAGCTTCTTTTCAGCAGGCCTAATCACTTAAGGTAAGAAAGAGAAAAATCACAAAAGGAAAAAAAAATGTTTAGTTTGTACCTTTGTATAGTTTAGCTGAGGTTTTTTGAACGTTTTACTACAGACAGATTCACTGCAACAAACCAAAGGCAAATCTGAGTTCAAGCTAACAATAGTGTAATAATCAGAAGAAATGAAATTTCTGATATTATACTTAACTTATCTTTTTTAATTACTTGGTTGCTTTTTAAAAAAAAATCTGACAAGGATCACAGAAGCTGCTGTTTCGAAGAAAAGTCTTTATTAGACCTACAGTCCATGACACCATTCATCACAGTTCTTTCCCATGAAGCTGCCTATAATCTTGACCTCTTGTCTCATTGTTTTCCACTTTGATATATCACTGCCTTGTTTATGAGTGCTGTTCTTTCATCTCTGCCAGCCTTCACCATGAAGCTCTCAAGTTCTCTCAAAGATTCCACTCATCATTGTCCTCTATGCCTAGAACATCTGTAGGATTCTTCCTCCCTGACATTCTCTAAATCTCTGTTCAGGCATCCCCATTTCCCATGCACTGATAGCCTTCAGCCTGTAAGCATGTCACTGCATGTGTACCTAAAACAATCACATCTCCTTTCTGAGTTCCCCCTTAGTCTACTTCACTGCCCCATCCTGATGACAGGATATGAATGAACGAATGAATGAATGACCGACCAGAATTTTGGGGAAAAAATTGTTTTGTGAGCAGGAAGGGAAATGGGATTCAAGAGATTCAAGGGAATAGTTGAAGAAGAGTATAACAATGTTCAAACAAATAAATAAGGGGCATTTTACCTTAAAGTCAAACACTCTTAAACACACATGGTAGTGCAAAGAATATACACTCTCTTTGTACAATTTTAACTCAGGTTTAATCTCATCCTAGTGGCAAAAGTAAATACACTATGCTCTGTTTTTCATTCTATGTGTTTCTGCCCCCAAAGCAAGCATGCACATGATGCACAGCCTTACGAAGAGCAGCATGAAATGCAGGAAAGTCAAGAAAAGGTCTTTTTAGGCTTCACAGCCAAGTACCATAACCAACTTGTTTCACAATGAGATAATATTTAATTCAAAATGAACCAAGAGTGCTACTTGGATAGAAAGACTACTTTTGGAATTATTATTACTTATTTCCAAAACAACATTGCTTCTGACGTATTCATTTAGGAACTATAAAACTGGCAGGAATCCAATTTACCTTACTTCTGAATACTGTAGCCCTTTTCCTACAGGTTCAAAAAAATCATATAGCAGAAACTGTAAGATAAATATTAGCTTGTTTTAACCATCAAACTATTCCCTTCCAAAGAGGTTCATTCATTTCTTAATATGCCCTTCAGCATTGTTCTTTGCAAAACAATTTATCATTCTGGAAATTTACTGGCAAACAAGCACATCAGTCTCACTGCATTTTGTCATCACAAGCAGATTCAGTTACAACTATACAAAAACAATATTAGCCATGTTGCTGAAGTGCTGACACTTGTTTGGATATAGCTTTGAAATGCCTGTTGGCAACAATCTATTTATTCTGGAGTATACCAGCAATAGATGCAGTAAGTAGTATTAATTCTAAGAATAAGAAAAATAGGTAATTTTTTCCTAAAATGGAAAAGTTGTAGAACTGATATTAGAAAAGAAATTAAATGCAACAGGTCACAGTAATAAATCTTTGCTATATTAATACTACAAAAATCTTTTTAGTGGAAGATAGATATCAAGGAAACAGCAATATTAGTGATTAGCCTGAAGTAGAAGTTGCAACAGCAGGAAGTTGCAAAAGAATCATTATCATCTGCAACCACATACTATGAAATACAAATTATTTACCATAGGATGAGCATAGCTGATGTACAAATACAAATAATGGTATGGAAAGTCCCATTACAGTACTGGTCTCTTTTTCTCCCTAAAGGCAACTGAAGAGGCCATACTGTAGCTACAGCCAGTTCTTCTGGACTATTATCACTAACTTCAGACAGTTATTTCCATATAGAGGATAAGTGGACTTGATGTGCTCATAATCTGTAAAAAATTCTTCATATATGGGAAAGTGCAAGAGGCACAACACGTATTTCCTAAGCTTAACCAAGATACAGTCCCGATTAACATTCCATATGTTTCCAGCTCAAGGAATCTGGTGCTCATAGCTGTTCTTTTCAAAGCAAAGCCATCCCTGGAAGTTCAAAAAGCGAAATAACCTTGTGTGTTCAAGTTGATGAAAAACAACATAAATCTTTCTTTGCATGATTGTATTTTTAAAATACTAATTCTAAACCATTTTAAAAATCACATTTAAGTGAGAGTTACTTTCACATCCTAGGAGGCAAAAACAGTTGCTTTATACATCCTTTCACTTTCCACACTGGGAATGCTGGTAGTGTCCTGGACTAAATATGTGTTTCAGCAGACAAACCCAAGTTATTCTCAGATATTCAAGTCTACGTGAGGGAGAACAGTGATCATCAACCAATTACAGTCAACTTCTATGACAGTTCCAATTTAAGACTACTCATACTACATGGTAAGAGACTACTCACTAAGCTCAAAGTGAGGCAAACCAAGAGGTTTAAATGGTCTAAGGTTGGCACCAAGGCAATTTCTAGCTTTATGAACTCTAAGAGGGCCCATTCCTGGGCAAAAATAGTTGTTGCATCTACCCAAGATGCAAATGGAATTTTCACCAGGTATGCTAATCTGTGTTCCATGTTAAGAAACTTTTTAATAGATAAATTGCCAGCTAAGAACTAACAGTCCACAAGATCTAATTGGTTCGACCTTGATTGTTCTCACTCAAGAATGACCCTAAGACAAGGTTTCCCAAACTGTGAGGCGTGCCTCCCTTTTGACAGGTGCAGACGGAGTCAAGGGGAGGTATGAAGAACCTTTTAGTTATACTGTTACAATAAATCCACTTTTCTCAAAGTTTCATTGTACATTTGTGTTTATTTTGGTGTTTGGATTTTTAGGGGAGGTGTATACATTAAGATTACACTAAAGGAAGGTGAGATGGCAAAAGGTTTAGGAACCCCTGCCCTAAGAGCAGTGATGAGTTTGGTTCAGAGAAACCCTACACCAAACAATTAAGTCAAGATGTTAAAGCTCAGACATAATTACATGAAATTAACAGTCACAAAGAAGGCCCAATGCACAGCTACAATTTGGTTGGAGCTAGAAAAGTTAGTGAAAAGGTTCAACTCAGTTATCTGATATGCTGAAGGAGCATAAGCTTCTACCTGACATCCCTATCTCAGCTTCAGTTTGGGAGGATTTTTATCCTAACTTATTTGCCAACTCCAACCAGGACCATCCAGAAAAGATGACTACTCAGCTTCTGACCTTTGATAAACCTCCCTCCTTGGCCAACAGTGACAGTGACAGAAATTAAACACATTATCCAGTCACTGAAAACCAATAAGACACCTGGTGAAGACTTCCTACTCTCAGAAGTTTTCAGGACACACTGACTGGTGGGTTCCACTGCTGGCAAAGCTGTTTACTTATATAGGCAACACTGGCTATATTGCAGCAGGATGGGAACTCTCCATTATATTCATACACAAAAAAAGGAGACAAGGAGATCCTAAAAATTAGAGACCTCTAAGCCTTATTGATATAACAGCTAAGATACATACAACACATCTCATGAGCAAAATAGAGGTTTGGGTAATTAAGAAAGTATTAGTGGAAGAACAGGCCAACTTCAGACCTGGGCATTCCACAACAGATAACTGTTTCATTCTCCACCATCTTTTTACTAAATATACAACAGATGGTAAACACCTGTTTACATCTTTGATAGATCTTAGCATGGTATTTGACTCCATAAACAGGGACACCTTATGAAAGAAGCTGGCCAAGCTAAATTGGAACCCAGACTTCTATACCTGGTAAAAGCCCTCTATACAAATACATGACTGAAAGTCCATGCTGGAGTTAATGGCTATCTCACACAGATAAATAAATAGAATAGTGTTATCTATATACCCACTTATATAGGTGTTAGACAAAGATGCATCTTGGCCCTATGTTGTTTAAGCTTTATGTCAGTGACATCTCAGGATTCCTCCATTCTACTGATGTTCACATGCAAAGATCCTTAATAGATATATCAACTTCCTTTTGTATGCAGATGATATGGTTCTGATGGTATACTCTCAAGTAGACGTGACAAGATTGATGGGAAAATTTGGTGCCTAGTGTGCCTCCAATTCTTTGAACATTAATAAGACTATATCCAAAGTGGTGTTTAAAAAAAAAAAAAGATACAACTGGCACTTGGATGGGGAGCTTATAGAACAAACAGACTCCTTCCCATATTTAGGGATGGTTTTTACTGATACTGGGCCTTGGGCTAACCTCTTCAAACAAAGTTCAGTAAAGGCCACAGCAAGCTCTAAAAAAGTAATTAAATTACTTAATTTATAACCACCCAAACATTCTGATTTCCATTTTAAACGTCCACAAGGCAAAAACTGCACCAATGCTAACATATGGTGCAGAATTGTGGGGCCGGCCTATCAAAGCCCCCCCCAAACAAAATCAAGCACATTTTCTAAGATTTATTCTGGGGACCAACACCTGCAGCAGCAGTCAGAGCTGAAAGAGGCCCCTACTCCATTTACAGCCTAACAGTAATTAAGGTCTTTAACTACTGGCAGAGATCAAGTCTCCCAATGGAACTTGACAGGCTACCAAAAATATGCCTTGAAGAACAGATGGGCACCCTTCAACTCACCACATAGGTGAATCAACTTCTCAAAATCATCTCACAGATTGACTTGTCAACACAATATGTACTCTTAGCTGGACATCAGGCCAAGGCAATATTCAAAGAGTCTTGGATATTAATGCTCAAACCAACATTGAGTCATTTGCAAACATCAGGTCACTGAAAGAATGTCTTTTCAAACAGAAAAATACCTGACAGTGGGTCTGACTCAGTACCATAGGGTAGCCCTTACCAGACCAAGATTAGACCAGC